CATTCTTCCACCTGCAACTTTCGCTCAACTTACCGCTATTCATCAGAATCAAACGCTGACAATACCGGTTAGATAAATCTGCATAGCTCATTCCGGATATTGAAAAAATAATTATCTCTTTCTCCCATTCCTGAAATGTGTGGTAGCATAAGGATATATCTATCCACATCATTCATCACTTCCTTCACTCTCGTAAATCGTATATATGTAGACAGAGAGAGAGAGAGAACGAAAGAGAATCGAAATGAAGAATACGGTATAGGGAAATTAAATCAAAATCGTTACATATATTATGCATATGTCTGTTAAATTATTGATTACAGCAAAAAATGATGAAAATTGATGAAATTATAAATGCTTTACCGGAAAGTATTTTGCAACAACTTCCTCTTCCACCGGTATTCCGATTACTTCCCCAATATGTCCAAGAAGTGATAAAAGCTGTACGAATAGCAAAAAATCTTACAATGCAAGAGAAATGGCTTCAAATGACAATTATCATTGAATCACTTCCAAATGAACAACGACAAATGCTGCAACAAATAATGCCGCATTTTCCATCGGTATCTTTCAATTTAATAATATAACAAATGCATTTTTTTTTGCTCATAAAAATTCCCCTTTTAAATTTCATTAATCAACTAATTTGGATTGTGTGAAAATGATGAAATTGAAAGGAAATGAATTGATTTAGTGTAAGATATTAATGAGAGATGATATTACTGATAATATAAGTGACCTATCCCAAATGATATTTACTGATAAAGCAAAGAGAATAGTCATACTATTCAGATGAAAATGAAAAGTCCTATTCCATAGAAGTCAATGTAAATTCAGTAGCAAAAAACAACCAATCCTTTTTTAAGTAAAAAATAGAGTAACAGGCAAACTGTGTGAAAGGCTAATAATTATAAATGATTTTTTCTCGTGCTACTGCGTAATGTAACTTTCTCAGCGAATGTCAAATAATTAATAAACTTAAGAAAAGAAAATATTTTTCAGAAAAAACTACCATTATTATCACCATTTCAAAAATTACCTATCAACATACAGCAAAAATTGCAATCCGTTCACATGCAGCATGGATTATCAGTACAACAACGATTTCAGAAAATGAAAGCAATCATCGAATCTTTGCCATTGGAAATGAAAAAATTGGGATTCCCGCACTAATATGATATACTTCGTTACCAATTTACATATAGAAAAATTTTAATTTATAAATTATTGCAAGTACAATTATTAACTGCTACCATCAATTGTGTGTTTGTACTTCTTAAGTTAAACAATGATTTTGGAAATGAAGTTCAAGGTGTTATTTTAAAGATTTTAATTAGAAAGTTCATAGGATTTATCCTGAAAAGCATAAATTTTTATAGCGAACTAAAAAGAAATCATCGGAAAAACTGTAATATTTCCTAATAAAAATTTCCGATCCAGTAGTAAATTTTGAAAAAAAAAAGTTTTTAGCTTTAGATGATGTGTTTATGCAGGACTTCAGTTCAGATTCAATAAATCACCAATCATCATAAACTGAGAAGTTTGCAAACTGTGCAAAAATTGTATCATTTCTGATTTTGAACTTTGGTCGAGAAACAGACCAAAGAGTTGTGAAAACAACTGGTAATTCCGATCAATTTTATTTTCAAGAAAAAAAAAAGATTGTAGTAAGATATAAAAAAGACATGGTATGTCTCTCCAATTCAACATTTTCAGGGAGTATAGGAAAAGCAAAAAAAATAAATAAATAAATACACAAGAAAATGTACAATCTCAATTATCACAAAAATATATTTGATGTAAAAAGTTTTATTAAACTACAAGCAAATAAAAATACTGAGTGGTAAAAATAAATTGGTATCCCAAAATTATATTTTTTTATCTTACTGTTTGATTGATATAATAGAAGTGGATTTATCGGTGTTGTATTTCTTTCAAATAGAACTGTAAACTAAAACTGGTATTTTCATCAAACAGTTAAGAAAAGAGCAGAATTAGAGGAACAGTAAAAGGATGTAAGCCTGTTGTATGTTATCTCAGTAAAAAACAGCAAATGAAAATAAAAATATTATTCGACTAAAAATATTATATGATTGCTTCTTAAGTTTGTTCAATCAATCACATATATAATATGTTAGAGAAAAAAAGTTCGCTTGTGTTTTTATATCAATCGAATTTAATCTACGAAAACTTTTATTGGCCAGAATTTAATTTGAATAAGTTTAAATCAATTTCATAACAATAAAAGAGCTGAAATGCCTTTAATCAAAGGAGAATTTTTTTCTAGTATATAAATATCTATCTTTATAAAAGGAAAAATAATACACAAAAAAGAGATCAAATCGAAGTCAGTAACCGTCATATGAATATGTAATTTTATATTCTGGATATTTCTTCTGCAATAAATTTACTGCTTGCTCATGTTTTGCCGGACCATATCTCTATAAAGATCACTGTTAAGTTTCAATAACTGATTGTTTTATAATTTAAAATATCACAATCAATTTCAGAAAAGTTGGCAATCCATTACAAAGTAATCTTTTATCACTACAGGCTCGTGATCTTGGCATATTATAAGTACCGGAATTTATAGTCATAAACGTGAAGGTCTCCCTATGGTGATGTCATAGCACATCAGAGATGGCAGAACATTAGCATCCTGAATAAGACTTGCAGCAGTAACAACAAGTCTTTTCGCCTTGACTGAATTTTAGATGGCTCAATTTTTTATTTAATTTGCTAAATTTTGTCGTTATTTAAAACAAGACTTAAAGTGCCGTTTCAATAATTGTTTTATAAATGCTAATATAAAATAACCTGTGAATAGCCGTAAACCAACAGACTTTTCTTTTGAGGTTCATGATTTATGCGTCCACCACCAACGCATTTCAGTGAGAAAGAAGAGCCAATTTCTTTTTCAGTTTGTTCAAAAATATTTTTATGCCATTTACAATGTTTATAGCCTCGAACAATCCATTTCTCGTTGCCTGTTGATTTCGAAGTGACCTGAAAATATGAATCAAACGATGAATTTAACTATATCAAGAATTCAACAGCAGCGGTAAATTAACTAGGGAAAGAAATAAGCAGGATACCTTGGAAGTCAATAAATTGGCAGTGTAATTAAGTCAGTCAAACATGTACTGCGATTATTACCTTGATCATTATGTATTTAAATAAACCTTCCGGGTCTATGTCCACATCCGGAATATTTTCTAATGACATTGAATGCAAAATGTTCGAAGCACTCAGTATCCAACTGAACGCTCAATTAAAATCTTCCTGAAACTTTTAGAAATTACGAAAACATGAACCTATCTCCGAGGATCTCCTCTACATTATTTTTTTTCTTTGCAAAATTTCCGGATCTTTTTTTCTTTGCAAAAACTGCTTGGATTCCAACAAGAAAAGAAAGAAAGACAAGAAAATAGTAGACTTGTGAAAAAAAATCATAAGCAACTCAATGTGACTGAACAAATCAGCTTATCAAAAATTCGAAAAGAAAGAAAAAAGCAAATTTATGAATATTTTGTTTTTATTACACAAGAAATTACATTCGCAACCTCGGAATTTGTAACTACAGAAAATATATAAACTGCACAGTAATTGTATAATTTAAAAAATGAAGAATTGCTAAGCAGAATTAACTTCAAAATGAGTCACTAACTTATTTTACCAAAATGCAAATTAAAGTTGAAATTGCAACTTGGTTTTTAATTTCAATCAAGCACGAAAACAAGAGAAATGAGAAAAATAATCATCTGAAGCAGGAATAATTGAAACAATGACAGCAAATATTGAAGCATAGCTAAAACAAATTAATACCCCTCGTTAGAGAAGGTGATTTTGTAATCTGGATATTTCTTTTTCAAGATATCGACACTTTTCTGATGATTTGCTGGACCATAACCCTAAATACATGAAGATATAACCGCGTAATAATATACAGCATTTAAAAAAATTTCTATGAATTTAAGCTTTCAGTTTATTGTCTCTGTCGAATAATTTCTCCGTGATTTCAAAAAAGATGATTTACTCTCAAACTTTATGGTTTTTTGGTAAATGACCTAGCTTTACGGAAATATTTATATTCCACAAAATAATAAAAAAAACTGTTATGAAAGTAATGATTCAGTAACATGTTTTTACTTTTTGACGAATGATAAAAAAGAATTTGTCGGAAAATCCGAAATTAATTCTGAACTGTAATCAAGAAATTGTATACTCAAATGATTAGTAATTGAAAGAATTTCCTAATGATTCACCGTCTGCAATGAAGCCTTACAATGCTTCATGCAATTAGCAAATTCTCATCATAAAAACTATTCCATATTTAAATGTTCATCTCAAATACTCCTCCTCATTCCCAAATATAAGCTAATCAAATGATTAATCTTAACATCCGCTGACTCATCCTTAACATTTTTCTTGTAAAAACCATTCTTTTCCATAGCTATCTTTGTAACTAATCTGCTTGTATCACGACACGCCCATTAATCACATCCTATTTAAGAATTTAAGTATCTCAAATTTTCACAACGATCATGGTTGTTACTATTGTTGGCTTAAATTCTTGTCTTATCCTTATTTGAATCATTGTAACCTCTTTGACCAAATAAATCGTTACACAAAATCGTCAGCAGACCAACAATTCAGCTAATCAGTCGACAAACCATCTTAAACAAATTAACTCAATTCAAACCTTTTCACGACAGAATCTACGTACCACAAGAATGATTATAGTGGAACCATTATCAACATTAGTTATTTTTTAGCTGATGCAAAATTACAATAAAATTTGATAACCTGTGAATAGCCATAGACTAATATTGTGTGATTTTTTGACTCATGCTTTATCCTACCTCCACCCAAACATAACAATTCGTAATCTGGCCCAAGTTCCTTTTCCGTTTCATCCAACACATCTCCATGATAAGCGCAGCGAGCGTATCCACGTACGATCAGTTTTTCTTCCTTCGAAGCTTTTTCTGTCACCTGTGATCATTTACCAAATTATTAATCAATCTCTTTTCTTCTTCCCTTTTACACCATATCAACTTTAAACTTCAGTTATCTTAAATTTAAGCTGAAAAGTTAACGAAACTAAAAGATAATTTAGTATTTCAAAATATCACTCCCCAGGTTAAAAATATACCTTTATTAATATATACTTGAAAACACCATCAGGATCGATATTAGCGTCAGGTACATCGACTAATGGCATATTCACTGCGCTTGAAAAGAGCTTTATCGGCCGAAAATGGATAATATTTTTAATGAAACGAGAAATTCTGCCTATAAGGAATTACTTGAAATCTGACAAAACACAATAGTAGCATGAATACCAGCATCGAAAAATTTTAAACTCGACTACCAAATTTTTGCTTTGTCAACTTCTTTGAGAAATCACTACCAATTAAGAATTCTTATCCCAATATAAAATGACATCATGTTTTAATACGAAGTCACTCCACACTGAGATGAGAATCAGAGTGTCATTATTACTTAGACCACGATACTGTAGCAGTATGGTCAGGAATTGTATTCTACATGGAAACTAAACCTTCTTATCTACAGCGAACAGAAATCCCAATGATTAAGGAAGATAAAAACCGGGTAAAATCTGTAACAGCATATCAATGTCTGGAGATTTAAAAGGTAAGATTTGAAATTTTCATTATTCCAGAAATAATAAAACATAACAAAGTATAAGAAATGTATATAAAAACAACAAAAATAACACAGTAAGCAGAGGGAAGTGATCAGTGTTATTAGGAAAAAAGCTCACAAAATAACTTCGTGAGACATTATTGAATTTATATTTCAAATATTTCATAATAACCAACACGTATTATTGCTACATTTACTTACATCGAATTCTTTTCTTAATTATATTGGCATAACAAAAATTAGTGCAACAACAAAAGTTTCAGGTAGTACCTTTTGCGAGGCTATCTAGCCTAACAATTTTGTAATATCCAAAGCTCACCGGACAACAGGAACTATTTTTTCTTTTTTAAAAACACTTGTCATATTGTTAATATCAATATGTCTGTATCACTAAATCCGATATTATGGTTTCATTATAGACCAAACGCATGCACGGATCTCAAGTAGGACGAGAAGCTTGAGATAGCCGAAAGAAACAATACCACAATTTAATTCGCTAAAAACATTAAATCTATACATACCCAATGGTAAATATGATCAAACGATGCATTGCAGACTCTTTCTAGAGACTAATTTAGGAAGTAACCGATGTTAGAATTGTTGCACCGAATCCTTTTAGCAAATACTGTTTTTTAATCACAATCTCATGAATCCATGAAAAATGTGATAAATACAGACACATAACTTGTCTTATCTTCCAATATTTACTATTCACAACATTTGCCAACATTAGCAAAAATTATTAACAAGATTTAATAACTATAATCACATCAACGATAAATTCCTGCAAATTCTTGAAAGCGTGAATGATCTGTAGCTAAAATAGTGATCACCTCTTCGTTAACGCATAATTAAACTGATGTTCGAAATTCTTTGCTGCTCTTGCTTTTCGAACAGATTCTAATGTTTCATAAACACGTTTTATTGTATTTCGATTAAATAGTTTAGCCTAAAAAAAAATACGATATTGAAAAGATATTGAAAAGTAAATAATTTCACCAGAGATGAAGAATTGTGAATTCATTCTTTTATCACTCATCTATTTGGACATTAAGATATAAGATTTAAACTAGATCTCCTAGTTGAAACTTACAATTAGTAAACTCTAAATCTTTAGAAGTTAAAAAAATTAATTTTTTCAGTAATAATTCCATAGAAGCTCAATTATTTCCAATGGTATTTTTTTTGTGACTTTGCACTTATTTGGTCTTCAGAAAGACGATCACAAAAATATCCGGCCAGTTATCAGGCTTCGCCGTTCAATCTTCCCCCAATCTTCAAGTAAGTCAAGAAGTCAGAAATTTGCTTCCATTGCTTGTGCAACATGTGTCACTTTACGTCTAATAACACTCAACCATTTCAACCCTGCACTGTAACAGGGACCGCATTACGTACTAAACTATCAGTTACCTGGTTGCCATTCGTAAAATGATCTACAGAATCTAACTATAGGAAGTCATAAAATTAGCAATTTCTTACATTAAGTCTGTTTCTTACAGCAGTAGGTGTGTTTCCATCAGTATCTTCTTGTCGCTTTCTCTTCCCTCGTTTTATCTTTCCTCTCAAATTCGCTCCAGTCGCAGCTTCGACATCTTTGATATATTCTTCCTCTTCCTTTGTATCACATTTTGGATTGCAAGATTTCCTAAAAATTGAAAAAGGTCTGGAAATATTTCCAAATCAACTGAATCCCAGCCAACAAATAAAGCTAATCTAGCATTTGATTTTTGAAAAAACTTTTGTCAACTGAAATTTTTTTTTTAGATTTTGCTTCTTTATCACATACTGAATGATTTCTTTCATTGGGTATCCCATTTCATCGCGATCAATGATTTTCCCATGCAGTGGACAACGTTTTAGGTCCATGCGAGGGCATAATGTTCCATCCCTAAATGGAGCACGACACTGTCGACTACCCTTTAACTGTTGACCAACAAATGTCATAACTCGAGAGTGATATGCTTCTGCGATATCCAAATTTGTTGAACAGCTGCAGTAAATTTTAATAGAGAATTATATTACAGCAGAAGTGATCAACGTTGGCAAAATGTAAAATGTCATACTGTACTAACCCTTCATCCGAAGGACGCCAGAATCGATGACAATCAGCATTGTTTCGTGGTACTTCAGCAGGTTTAATGTCATTTTCACCCCAGTATTTAAGATCAAGTCCATACGACAAAACTGGTATCTTATTTTCATGAATGTTATTCTCTCTGTGATCTGAAAACTCAAAACTGTTGAATTTTTTCATAAAATTATAAAGGCAAAGTCATCATAATTTTACCTGGAGATGAATTTAGTAATTTCTGCATTCCATTAATTTTGCTTGGGCCAGCTAAAATATCATTTTCCACTGTTTTTTTTAAAATGTATTCTGGTAACTCTTCTGGTGGTTTGTAATCCAACTCCAAATCTGGAAACTATTCAATTATTAATCGAAATCATAAAATTTCTGCACCTTTATGTTATAAAATAAAAATAAAAGCAAATTACCTTCTTTTTCTGGCACATCTTCAAAATCATCGGTCTCTGAATCTTCTCCTTCCGACTTTTGCCTGTTTTGCAAATGCAACTCTTCACATCTGAAATTCTGCTGAATTCAAGATTCTATTCCCCAAAAAATTCATCATTAAATGCAAAATTCTCAAAATTCGAACTCGGGAAAAAAATTCATGGAAAAGCAATTTTGTTAGCATTAATCTATGAAAAAAAAGAAATACCGACTTCTCCAACTCAACAATAATCTTCTCTTTTAAATCAACGATTTCCTTGCACAGTTTCTGCCCATTGTTTCCACCATACTTGCCAAGCTTAAACAGCCAACCACAAATGGTTTTTTTATAAAATTGCAACATTCTCATACAATCCATTAAGGCATTTATGATTGCTTGATTTTCAGCGTTAACAATCACAGTTGGTGAATCCACTGGAACAGTTACGGCTACCGATTCGAGCAAGCTGTATCCATGAATTATCTAGAATTTCTTAATTTGCGTAGATGAAATCAAATGATAAACTAAAGAATTTGGTTTGGAAATCAACATAATCACCATTGTCGTTAATAGGATCTAAATAGCCAAAGGAAATAATAGACAATAACTTTGCCAATTAAATTCCAAAAAGTTTTTAAAGAAAATAAGTGCAACCTTTTTCTCACATCCGAGACAGCTCGCATTATCTACACCTTCATCAATATCAAATCGTGGCACCAGGAGCTCGAGCGCATGTCTTGTCTCATTGATACAACGTGAAATTTCCTCTCGTCGTTCTTTAAATTCTTTTTCAATTTTCTCGACTACTTGTTTACTCTTTTCATTCCTTTTTCGATTTTCTTCTTCAGCCCGTTGCCTTTCAACCTAAAAAGTATCTATCGTAAACAATTTAAATTTACAAGAAACTAGAAGGATTGAAATCATATGAACCATTCTCGTACATCCAAACGAAAAAAGTAAACAGATGATTAACGGACAATACAAATTTTATTTTTTTGGTAGTAAGAAAATAATTTTCGTAATGCAATATTATGTATACCATGATTTGTTGGTATACGTATAGATATCACTATTTGCAAAACGATAGCCAAAATAATTCAAATGTTTATAATAATTATCGTAGATATTCAACAACATGGAAATCTTAATTATTTTAAGAAGATAACCTGAAGCTCAGCACTGGCGTGTTCAAAATCCAAAGATTTTGAAGAGTGTAGGAAGTTGACAGCGAAATCCAATTTTGGATAAGCTTCTGCATATTTTTCATGCCAAAGTTTGATAAGTTTCAAAGTTTCTAATTTAAGGATTTTGGCAGCTTCCTTGGGAGGTGGAAGAGGGTAATGGAGAAGGTCTGTTTCTGCTGTATATAATAAAACTTCCTGAAAAGCTGATGAAAATTATGAAATTTATTAAAAATGAGTCTATCACAGGAAAACGACCCATTATAAATAAACAAAACCCCCCTTTTTGATAATAATCTTGTATAATTCGAAAAAACATTTAAATACCTCCTTAATCCAAAAAAATGAATAATAAAAGATTACTCTCCGCAATTGGTACTTTTCCTTATAATTTCAACTGCCTCAACACAAACCTGCATATGATTGACCAGTAGAACACGGAAAACATGAGAACGCTGGAAAAGTTCAGCAGATAATTGTAGAATAGCCAAACGATACTCACAATCATTCTTCCGGAAATATTTCAAAAAATCGATAAATATGGGTTCAATGATGTCTGGATTACTCTTTAGGATCTCTTTCAATTCTTTGAGTTTCCCCTCATTAAGCACTCGTCTCTTGAAATCGAACTGAAAATAGTAATTTATCTGGGCTTCATCGCGAAACATTAAAAAGACATTAAACATGGTAATTGTGAGAGTCGATGTATAATAAAAATTATAAATGGCTACACTTTATATTATATTTCATTAAGCCGTATTGTAAATAAGAAATCACTGAATAACCATATTCTCTATTTCAAAAGATGTGTATAGATGCAAACAATATAGGGTTATTGGCACGTGGTCATTTGATATCTGTTACTCAAGATTTTACAAATTAATGATAATTTCTAGCGTTCGTATTGCTTATTCATCGAAAAATTAACTATTTCAGTACTATGTTCCGAAATTAATTTTACTTGTTTAACTAAATTAAATAGAATCCTTCTGCAAGCTATTAGCTGAAGAGGTTGTCCGTCTTGCATTCAGTGAAATTCCAATTCCATGCGAATATATGGAGAAAATAACTTTTAATCGATAATAATAATAAAGTTTATAAGAAAAGCCAAAAAAGTGACCACTTCCTAAAAAACTTTAACTTTATGAAACCGAGACGAGTTGTTATATTTGTATAGTCGATTAAAAACGAGCGAAATATTTCCGTATGCACGACACGGAAAAAATTTCGAGAAAATGATATCATTGTATTTTCGAAATACTCTTTTCAAGAAATTTATTTCAATTCTTGATTATAGATTAATCTTTGGAATTTCGATGAATCGGTTTATATTTAAGTCTCATTTTATGTTCACTAAAAATTAATGTTTTTCGCCATCATAGAGGAACTGTCTTTTAAATTGTTTAAGATTAGAATCTTTCCAATTGTAATTTTTTAACGGAAATTCTAATTGATTTTATTCCTAAATAACTTCTCTAATTTTAACCTTTTAATCCCTACAGCTAAATACTATTTGTAGATGTTACCTTGGCAGCAATATTTTTCTCACTGATAAATCCAAATATGACTTAATTGAAACTTCATAATGAGTTCTGTCTTTCCATGAAAATTGCCTTAATGGCTTAGAAACATAGTAACGCTAAAGAATTATAGTAAAATATATTCGTGAAAATCTTGCAATTGGTTGCTACTTATCGATAAAAGAAATAAAATCGATTCATGTATCAAGATCAAATTAATCAGATCAATCCGAGGATTGGTGATCATTGATTGTAACTGGTAACATTTCCACTCCGCGAACTTTCTTCGACCTTTACACCCTTACTTGACAACAGAAAATCGGAATTTTAGTTAATCAGCCACGATCTTTACATAAAAGCTAAACAGGAAAGGGATATTTTTTTTGCATAATGACAGGCCTCGATCTGAACGTTAATTTGAGCTTTTGAATATGGAATGATTCGTCGTTTGTGGGTGCGCGTGTTCTACATTCGGACTTTTTGAAGTTGTAGAATGTTTCGGCATTTTAGCTTTTTTTCAGGTTCGCACAAATAAGATGTCTTCAGGTGTCCTAGTCAACGCGCAATGCCAAACTGTATTTCAGCAACTTTCGGAAGGAAAGCATCACAAATTGCGCTATATAATTTACAAAATCGAGGATAAAGAGGTTGTGGTAGAGGCGGCCGTCTCACCTGATGATGTCAGTCTTGCTGTATTTGAAATTTAGATAATTTTGAACCAAAGATATATGCATATTTTGTAAACAATTGAAATCTGAAGGAAAAACTAAGGAATTCAATTGATATTGTTTTCACTATCTTACAGAATGAATCTTTGCAGTAGCATGAGACTGAGCTTTCTCTCTGATTGTTCTCAATTTAATTGCAATATATAATTTGATGTACTGTGTTTATATAAGTTAGTAGTCTTAGAGTTGATAACAAGATTTGTTTAGGCAATGGAATCTAGTTTTAATAAGTTACCTTATTTGTAGCTTGGTGTAACAGATGATGATCACGACGAAAATTCGAAAACTGCATATGAAGCGTTCGTACAAGATTTAAGGGAACGGACTAATGGTTTCAAAGATTGTCGTTATGCTGTTTTTGATTTCAAATTTTCATGCAATCGACCTGGCGCAGGCACTTCTAAAATGGACAAAATTGTCTTCATACAGGTTCTGTGCAATTTTCATCTTTATGTTTTTTTTTTTATTTTTATGCGTGTGTCCAAAAATGGGACTTTTAAATCTAAACTTTAAATCAAAACTCTTTTAATCATTCGATTTCTTAACATCATCAAAGCATGGGAGAAATAAACAAATCTTTCTTGAAATATATTTAATCTGCAGCTATGTCCTGATGGTGCACCAATTAAAAAGAAAATGGTTTACGCTTCGTCTGCATCTGCAATCAAATCTTCTTTAGGAACTGCTAAAATTCTGCAGTTTCAAGTAATATAATTTCTTTCTATTGAAAATCCTATATAGCTTTTTTGAGATATTAAACATTGAGACCAGGAAAATGAAGGCCAGGCAGTCTTGGAATTAATTTATTTGTCGTTTTTTGCAGAATGTTGCGCTGTCTTACAGAAACTTTTTTTCAAAATCTTATTTTGATGTTTAAATGATTTCGCAGTAAAGATTATTCGTGCCTGTGTTGTGCTGTTATGAAGAATTATTTTAAGGTCTCAGATGATTCCGAAATCGCTCATAAGGAGCTTTTGTCGAAGCTGAGTGAAAAATATCGTGACAATTAATGATTTGGTGATTGCTACAGTTGCCAATTGGAGCAATATATGTGATTGAAATGGATATTAGTTTCGTTGTTTCATGTTGATATTTATTTGGTTTATATTAATGAAGATGAGATTTGGATTCATGGTTGCTGTTCGGAGTCAAATGACCACTGAATTCTCTCGTTTAGAATTCCGTGGAATTAACTGTACTGCTAGATAACATGCTCAAATTTATCATATTCTAGTGTTTTGTAATCATGGTCATTTGCACGAATAGCTTCCATAATTTTCTAGCTTTTATAACATGTTTTTATTCCTTACTCGTATTAAAATCCTGAAACTTCCTGCGTTGCTTTTGGTAGCTTTCTTTGAAAAATGGTTAACTCATTTGTTAGCTGAGATTGAGTATATAGGGAGAAGGTAGAAGTGTGGGAATCCCTTGGAAAATAACAAAAATGTTTAGGAAACAAATGAAACTTAGAAGCATTATTTTCTTTCTGATCACCTAAACATTTCGGCTGAACATCGAAGATAAGTTTGGGTTGTAGTCTACCCACATTTAATTTGAAGGATTTCTTATGAAGTCAATTTTTTTTTGTATATCTTTGCAATCCTTTATTCCGCTTTACAGTTTCAAATCCGTCATTTCTTGTCAACAAAATTCATTCACTTTGTTTTCACTTGCACTTATCATTCTTCAGTTCTTCCGTCTCATGTTTGTGCACACAGATGCATTCTCTTCATGCGTATATGCTCTGTATATCACTGTGTGAATTTGCTTGCATAAAAAAAGAAACAATTTGCTCTAAAAACTTTTTTCTTCGGTTGGAAATTGAATTTAAATTCTTTTTGTCCTTTCTTTTCGATTAAATTGAATTTGAATGTAGTTTGTTTCGATTAATATTAATAAAATATCGAATCAATTTGTATCGAAAATCTTATGGTAATGAACTGCTCCAATAATACTTCATTAAGCAAATGTATTATGTAACTTATCAGATGTAGTGAATGTTGTACTTATTGGTTAAGTGGAACTTAACAAATCGTGATGAATGTTGTGTTGGTGGTCAATAGATACTCTCAATCTACAGACTGAATATGAAACGATATGACAGTTATTGCTGTAGTTTTTTTGACCCGGACTGCAATCTGCCTTGTGTAATATGAAATCGTTAGTCCGTGATGTAAGGAAATTTATACTTGACAGATGAGATAAAAGGTGATACAGTATTTCAAAGGTCACCTTATTTTGATTTGATGCAGGAAAGACTGATGTGCATCTTTTCATGAATAATTGGTATACGCCAATTAATCAATAGTATTAATATTCTCTGATGACTTAGACCTTTTGTGACCCTCTTTAGTTCTTGTACAATGCTCTCTTTAGACCAATAAATGTTTAAACCCTAAATTCTGTGCTAAATGCAGAGTACAAATCGAAAGAGCAGCTGTTATATGCCTCTGCGTTTTCACTAAGATTTGCAGGGAAGTAATGTTTCGTTCCAGCCCATTGAATATTGATTTCATTTCTTGATGTTTAAGGAAATAGGCATTAGACTAAGATTAATCTGATTCATTCTGATGCATATTTACTTTGTTAGTTATTATTGAAAATAATTTCAGGGAAGTTTTTAAGAAATAACGTTCTGGTCGTATTACAAGTTTTCAGTTAAAAAAATTTTTGCTTCTTTAGTTGTGGAACCATGATGAGCGCACCAATAATTTTGCTGAAAGAAGGAACAGAAGCAAAGTTTGGTAAACAGCAAATAGTTAGTAACATCAGTGCATGCAATGTGATCGCCGATAGTATTCGTACCACTTTGGGACCTCGTGGCATGGATAAACTGATCATCGATTCTAAAGGTACTCTTTTTAGATGAGCACACCGAATTTTGAATGATTTTGCTCGAATATAATCGCATGCGTGAAGGTTTTTAATAAAGAAAAAATTATGACGTTAACCGATTAATGTTATTAATTTTTAGTCGAAAACTGATGTTTTGTGTTCATTTTTTCAGCCAGCTGGAAATTTCTTAAGCTAAATATCTAGATTAATCTTTTTGTAAGGATTTATATTTCAAATCTCATTTAAGTCTTCTTGCTACTCTAAAATTTTTTCCTTCTCTCTTCCCAGTCTTGTTTTGTTTATAATCTCATGAGAGATCACTGAGTTCGTAATTGGTGTCTTTATATAAAATGAATAATGTATTAATGGCAATATTATTTCACTTACACTTTTTCGCTCTTTTAAGAAATGAGCTTTAGGTAAAACGACAATTTCAAACGATGGGGCAACCATTCTGAAATTATTGGATGTTGTTTTCCCCGCAGCTCAAGTTATGGTTGATATAGCGAAAAGCCAAGATGCTGAAGTTGGTGATGGCACTACGTCAGGTAAATGCTTGTTGTTGGCGGAATCGACTTACCAATACTTTTACTGTATGGCTATGTCAATCGAATCCTTTTAATTATTCTAACCTTTCAATTTCATGGTTTTTAGTTGTAATACTGGCAGCGGAACTCTTGAAACGTTCAAAACCTTTCATTGAAGATGGTGTCAGTTCACAGTTAATAATTCGGTCTTATTCAAAGGCTTGTGAAGAGGTTTGCCTATTTTTGATGTTGTGTCATAATGTCGAAATAATAAAATGTATGATCAAATGTTAGTTGTAAAGGCTAATTCTAGCAATTTTTTAGTTGACTTTTTCTTTTTATGGCATCACGTTGCTAGCTGGTGCAAACAAACTATGATCGTTGAATAATTCAAGAGACATTAGATTAGAATAATATTTAATAATAATGTTATAATAATCCAACATCTGAAGTAGCTCAACTGCTACTGTTTGATTGCATTATAAATTTATTAAGATGGATACAGATATAAAATGGGAGATAGTTCTTTACATGCTTTGTAATTTAAGGCAAGCAGTCGACTTAAAGAATTGGCTGTGAAAATCAGCGATGATACTAATATGCGTGAAATGCTGAAGAGATGTGCCACCACTTGTCTCAGCAGTAAATTGGTGCGTTTTGTCTACCCATACATTTGTGCTCTTTCTGTTTTTTGTTCACTTACAAGTTAATGTTCCCAACCCTTTAAAGTGGACAAGTGAGCAAATTAGTCAATTAATTACTGGGATTTTTTCTATTCCTTATTAGTGCAGTTTTGTCTTAGCTATTATCACATTTGTATCGCGATGAAAAATAAGAAACCGAGAAACCGATTTCGAAATATTTACATTTACTTTATTAAAATTTAAGATAAGTCAAGAACGGGAATTCTTTGCTGAAATGGCCGTCGATGCTGTCTCATACTTGGATGAAAATCTATCATCAAATATGATAGGGATTAAGAAAGTTAGCGGTGGATCTCTTTCGGTATGTGTTTTCCTGAACAGTTGATTCTTTTCCTTTTATGAACTGTTGCAGTCATTTGATATGTTAACATCAATTTTTCAGGATTCCCAACTTGTTAAAGGCATTGCATTCAAGAAGGCTTTCAGTTATGCAGGCTTTGAAATGCAACCAAAACATTACAAAAATCCTTTCGTTGCTTTACTTAATATTGAATTGGAACTTAAAGCTGAAAAAGACAATGCAGAAATGAGAATTCAAACTGTGGATGAATATCAAAAAGTATTTCTTTCTGGAAAGTTTTCATCTGAAGATGAAAAATTGTTACTTTTATTAAATTCCCTTATATAAGTTTTGATTACTGGTTTATATTATAATTTTGATATTATTTTAAATGGTCTTTTATTTTATTTTTTAGATTGTTGACGCTGAATGGACAATTTTATACGATAAGCTAAAGAAAATTCATGAATCTGGAGCAAAAGTAGTACTTTCGAAGCTACCAATTGGAGATGTGGCGACACAGTGGTTTGCTGACAGGTAGATTTTGTTGTTTAACAGTATTTTTATACTCTTTCCATGTGAAAAAGTTCTTCAAATTTTCAGGAAATTTTATTCTCAGCAAATTTACTATTTATAAATAGCATTCTTTCATCTTCAAAATTAGTTAGAGTCAAGGAGTGATGCTAAGCTTGAACTAAGTAAACTTAGTCCGTTCATTTATATAAGCACTCCTTGTAGGGATATGTTCTGTGCAGGCCGTGTGGAGCAGGCTGATATGGATAGACTAACTGCTGCATGTGGTGGTACTATTCTTACGACTGTAAGTCAGATTAGTAAGGAATTTCTTGGAAGCTGCGCAGAATTTTATGAACAGCAAGTAGGAAGCGAGCGGTATTATTCTTTTTTATCTTTACTATGGTGCATTTATTTATATACAATTAAATGGATCTTTTATAGTTTGTTTTGAATGCTGCTGATATTAGAATCATATTCCAATAGATTGTAAAGTATTGCTATACTTTGCCCTATTCCAACTAAAAATCGTTCTCTAGCTTTTTTGTATTGTTTTATTACTTTTTTTCGTAAATTCCCTTCATTTCAGATATAACTTTTTTCTGGACTGTACAAAAGCTAAGTCTTGCACCGTGATTTTGCGCGGTAGTGCAGAGCAGTTCATCGCAGAAACGGAGCGTTCTTTGCATGATGCAATCATGATTGTGCGGCGTGCTAAAAAAAATGATACGATTGTCGCAGGTTTGTTTTTGTGTTATTTTATTTGGTTTAGGTTATATAATTTCTCTTTTTTCATCGGTGTTATACTCTTATTTGCATAACAATTTCTGCTCATAGTTGTGCTTATCAAGATTCGTATTTTATAGCATTGATCTTCAAAAGATGCTTTTTTCATTTTTCCATGCAAACCTCTTTTTACGGAATAAGTTTTTAACTTTCATTCCTTATGGAACAGTGGAGAATAATGAATGCAACTGCATACTTTTTTTGCATGTGAAGTCTGCTTAATTATGATCAAGTGAAGTATGTTAATAAAGTTATTGTGTAGGAAATTACACTGTTCATTAAACTTAGGTGGTGGCGCTATTGAAATGGAACTTTCGCGGCATATTAGAGATATTTCTAAAACTATCGCGGGTAAAGAGCAATTCTTCTGGCAAGCATTCGGCAAAACTCTAGAGGTTTTTTTTTCTTTACTTCTTCACATAAGTTTTGCGATAAGATAACGGAGGAACCAAATTTCGAAATTAAAAAAAGTCAAGTTTTTATTTATTGCTTTGAATCACGTGTTCATTGATACATCTTTTATTCTGACTCAATTTTATCGGTGTCTTTTCACCGGCACTCATTTCGTGCGAATTCTATAGGATGTAACTATGTGGAAATAAATTTTTTTCCCTATTATCGGTGACAGGTTTGCTTAATTAATTAGCTAATGCTAGCCACAAAAGGGGCTTATGTAAATTAATGAAAGAACAACTTATTTTTATTTATTTAAGATAATTCCAAAGCAGCTTTGCTACAATGCAGGCATGGATGCCACGGACATACTAAATCGATTGCGGCACCGACATGCGAAGGGAGATAAGTGGGCAGGAGTTGATATTTATGGGGAAGATGTCAGTGACAATATGGAAGCATGTATTTGGGAACCAGCTATTGTGAAATTAGTTTGTTTTTTCTAAGTTTCCATTAAAAAATTTAATTTGTTTGATTCACTTTTGTCAGAAAAACAACTATGGATAATAGTGGAACCTGTATCTTAGAAACTTAGATCAAGTTAGAAAACAATTGTAAACTAGCAAAAATAGAAAATACGAAAAAATAAATTGTTTCAAATCACCAGCATCCGGCTTGTGGATTGGATATATCGAGAGATCGGAAGTCCTTCCTGTTCCACGCAATGTTTAAATTTTATTATTTTTCGCTTACAGAAAGCAAAAATACTGTCATCATTTTCAGAATGCGCTGATAGCAGCAACTGAAGCAGCATGCCTTGTTTTAAGTATTGATCAAACAGTCAAGAATCCTCGTTCAACAAATGGTGGCCAGTTACCTGATATGTAAAACATCTTTTGTCATAATATTATTTGAAAGATCATTCAGATTACTTTAGACAGAAAAGTTGCTTAAAAAACAAAACATGAAAAAAGTCAGATATTATGCCTACAAGCGAACCAATTTTTTTCATTCCTTTTTGCTAACTGTAGTTCAATTTTTTGATTCAGCAAACAGTGAAAAGTCAATTTGTTGAAGTCATACTTAAAATATTTCCACATTTTAACTGTCATTGTTTTCTAACTGTCACTGTTTTAATTTTGTTGAATTGCTTCGAATCTTTTTACAAATAAAATTATATGTTGAGCTCTCCGATGTAAAGACATAAGATTGTGAAACGTCGAGAATCAAACGTAGAAGTTGATTGTTGTGAATCAAAAGTCGTAAAATTGAAATCTAATTTGTGAAGGAATAAATCTAAAAACAAATTTCAATTTTACTCTAGTTAAATTGAAAGTTCTTATAAATTTGCAGCTCGTTCACAAATCTCAGCAATAAACTAAGGTGCTTTATTATTATAGGAATTGCAATTGATAAAATACTTTAGAATTAATCACTTCAAAGCGTTAGATTTTAAATTAACGACAGATAAGTTCAAAACTAAAATTGTCATACAAAATTCTTACCTATTATACATTTCAACCATTGCAACTGTACAACGAATACGTGAATCGAAGTTAATTTTCTTAAGCAATGATGAGAGTTTATAATGCCGTTTTATGAAATTTTGCATTTTCTGCTGCCAGCAAGACAGAAAAGGAAGACGGCCATACAGTACCGGCGCAATTATTTGTTTCATTGGTAAACTGAAAATTTTTTGAATTTTGTTAAAATACAATCATTTATGATTTATTATGATTTCATTTCTTTTTATTTTAAAATTGCTACCGGTGTGTTTTTCTTCTAGCTTTATTCATCTTGAAATTCATGAAATTATTTATTAGAACTTCCGCATTACAAATTTTTAGAAATGAACCCTTCTGAATTAGCTTTTTCAGTATTGATTTTCATCAATTTTTTTTTTCTATTTTAATGCTTATACAGAATGAAAATTTTGAAATCTCGGGGGCTTCTACTAGAAATATTTTTTTTATTAATCATAAGTAAATAATTATGGTAAAATTGTAGAAGCAAAACTATATTATATTTTCTTCTGTCTTTGATTAATTGGCGCTAATATTTAATCTACATGCGCCAATGTATGCTTTTTTTTTTGATTTATCTAATGCGACATTATTTGGTCAGATTTCACGAAGTGCTTATGAAGTACATATATCGATGAATCTTTTCATTGTTCGTTTTTCTTGCCAAATAAGAAATCTTCTTTAACCTTAATTCAATACAACAGGTTGGAATATTTCAATTTAATGATTCCAAAGTTCAGGAAATCAATTAAACGGCGCAACATGACAATGCGACATAAACGAAAGGCTGCAAAAGGTGAACTTTTTTTCTTTTTAAACTACAAACATGTTAAAGAGTATTAAATACAATTTTAATTTTGTTAAAATAAAATTTACATTCTATCTATTGAAATCATACACTACAATTGCAAAAATACTCGATAAAATTTTATTATGATTTAAAAGTGATAGCACTAAAGAGATTGAAAGGTCAGAGTATACGAATTACAGGCGTTGCACTATTTAAGCGATCTTTGATTTGTTGAAAAATACATTTAAAGTGACAGTTTTGATGATGTTACACCAGTTTTTTTATCCTTTTCAAATTAATTTTTTAGCTGCACGAGAAGCGATACGGACTACTTTACAAACAATTAAAAAGCACAGGTGAATCTTATCATATAAAAAAATTTTTTTCAAAAATTTTTTATTTATGAATTCAGCAACTTGAAATAACATGACTAAAAAGTATTAAAGTATTTCGTGTGATCGTAATTCTTTGTCATGGATTAGAAAAAAAAATTTGAAAGTGAAAAAGTAAACTTTATGCTTGTACGATTTTGCTGCAGGAGACCAGCCCGTAAGCATATAACCGTTCCGGTCAGAAAAGTTAATTCCGCGATACCAAAAAAGGATGATATAATGGTAGTTAAGCCTGAGGTTAAATTTAAATTTCGTATTTCATCATGTTCTCTTTTTCATATATTTCAAAGTACCAATCAAAATTTCATAAAATTTTTAGCATTAAATTTTGATGTAAGCGTGAATTTAATTTGAGGCTGTTCAATATTTTAGACACAAATTTTATAACAAATCATAATTAAACTTTGGAAATAGTAAACCATTTGATGTAATTATTCTCATGCTTGAATGAAATGTCGTAAATTCAACTTTGTTGCAGAAATTTATGAATATTTTAAACTAGTTAATAAAAATTTCTGAATAATTTAAAAATTATGAATATTTTAAATTAGTTAATAAAAATTTCTACCAAAGAATTTTTTTAAATTCTCTCATTTTTATTTTTAGTACAAAGCGTTTTATCCCTTCGGCTCAACACTTTGCTTGTCATTTATTGCACAAAGAAAAACGCTTTATGGCTTTGCTAATTTTTCGAAATTTAAAATTTAGTAAATATTGCAAATGATTTCCATTATAGTCCAGTCAGCTACCGATTCAAACAACTTCAAAACGATCAGACAACAATGACAATATCCGACATATTTCTTTAGTACCAGCTAATGATCCTGTTTATGAACAGCTGAAACAATTACCTGATGTCAGTATATTTATTTTATTTTTTTCATTATCATGATTTATAAATCTGATTAATTGAATCATAATCTATTGCATTCAAAAAATACTCTAAAATGGAGATATATCTAAAAGTTTTTTTGAACTCCTTATCCTCCGTCACTTGACCCATGAAATTTGAATTGCTTTCAGAAATCTCAAATACAATCGTAAATATTTACATGTTTTCCCGCTATTGAACTCATATATTTAAATGCTAATATACTAATTTTTGGACTAGCAATTTTAATAGTTTGAATATAAGTTCAAATAATCAATATTTTATAGTTAAATATTTTCAATAATGTTTTACACTCACTAATTAGTTCCTATAATTATAGTATATTATTGTTTTGTATTGCTTCCCTACATTACATCTTCACTCCAACCAATTATCGTTTTAGTCCTTAGCAAAAGGGTCATTCATGTTACAGTCAAATTGGTCGCTTAATTAATTAGTATACATTCAGACACAGAGCAATAGCAATGATTCAGTTTAATTATCGAAAATATTTTCAGAAATTGCTTGTTCAATTGCCTTGTGGTGTAATTCGAGATGCTGCTGAACATCTTAAAAATGCCAACTGCACTACTTTGGCTGGATTTATCATCTTTCGAACCGATCTTCGTCCTGTAATTTGTAATCCATCTTCGTCTAGCCTAAGGCACTTTTTTAGTGGACAAAAAAAAAAAGAAATGAACGATCAATTCAAGTTGAGAAAGTAGGAAAGAAATAAATTTTGAAATTTACTGAAGGAAGGGTGAAGATTATGTATGTACAGTTCATATAATATAACCGAAAATTGTCAGGATAGAATATCCAGTGATACAGTTTGTTGTAAACCCTCTTTGATTACCCAAACAAAATATCATAAAAAAGTATAGTATAATTCATAGCAATGTTTTAAATTAGTGGAAGCTTCATGCCAGTTTCTTTTCTAATTCAGTTTTTAATATTGACCTTTCTTCACAGCTACCTATTTTCCTCAAAAAAATTCTCATTTCAGTTCAAACAAAGTTGTAAATCGAAAAGCAATCAATCACAGAATATTCAAATTTCCGATTGCAAATTGTAGCAGCATTTTTGGATCACAGAGTTTTTCATTAAATTCCAGTGATTGCTTTCAATTTCAAACACTTTTTTTTCTGTAATTTCACTTTTAAAATGTTGCACTAAAATTGTCGGTGCAATCATAGTTAACATAATTCCATCGTTAACATTCTTATATGATTAAAAAGCTAAACTTTACTTTATATTTTGGTAAATTACAACGAACATGAAGGACTTTCTTATTTTAAGTCTACAATAATAGATTTGTTCGGGAAATTTGGGATTATCAGAAATTAAATTAGAAGAAATTTAATTTATTTGAATAAATCTAAACTTTCTTTTGTAATCGTTACTATTTGGTGATGTAAATATAACCTATTTTGTATGTATTCTCATTAATGTGTCGGTACATAAAATGTGCATAAATCATTCAAACCTTTTTCTTTATGCATATATTAATTTGCATATTCTTTTTTTTTTTCAAAAACTACATTTTATTATAGGCACCAGAGATGCGACAAAAGAATTGATGCGTAGATGAGATAAAAATTTAAAATTAAAAAAGAAAGATTTTTTTTTAATTTTTAAACGATAAAAAATTGAAAAGAAAAAACGACAAAATTAACAAACGAATTTTAGTTATTTAAATGAAGTGAAATGTCTGTGAAAAGTTTTACATGTTTATGAAGAATTTTATATGCAAAACGGAAGGTAAAATAAAGGGATAGGAAGGAGAAGTATCATACAGTGTATCGCTAAATTATTGCAATTAGGTTGCATTATATTCACATTGCAATGAAAATTAATAAAAATAATAGCAATAATAATGATAATAGCTATTATTATTTATTATTTATTGTTATTATCATCATTATCACTATCATTATCATTAGTTTTAGAACTAACGCATGAATAGAAGTAAAACGAGAATCGAAGAGAGGAAAATTTTAATTTTCAAAAAAATATAGTCAAAAAAATAACGAGTTGAACAAACATATTTTAATTAATTAATTTGAAAGAAATAATAACATACTAAATCTATCAGCGATGCTAGAAACCAGAAATGACGTTATATGATTCAAGAGTAGAGAGACCGAGGTAAGTAAACCAAAGTGTAACGAACAAACCAGATGTTAGCACCTGAAAAGCAAAAATTCATTGAAAACATTTTTTAGAATAAATAAGCATAATACATGGTTTATTTTAATTAGCTATATTTCAGTGCTCATAAAGATTTGAATTTGAATCATTGGATGACCTAAAATTGAAAAGAGCATATACAGTTTTGAATTGATCACAATTACTTCGATAGCTTTCTGAAATAAATTCACTAGTGAACGTTACAATCTAATCCGTATAACCATTCCGATGGTAATAATTTTAATAATTTAATAGTTTTTAGGAATAACTTTACATTTTTTTAAAACCCAAATTAAATTTGATTATTTGGATGAGAATGATTGATATTTTAACCTTATATTTCATCGGTCCACCTAATTCACCACCAATAGGAGGACGTCGCCTAATTATAATCACTGCAATGCAAATCAGTGCTTCGATGCAAAATATTGTTACGGAAAATGCAAGTGTTCCTGGCTCAACATAGAAATTATCACCGTTCCATCGATGATAAATTGCTGCAATCGTCCATGCTATTCCTGAAAATGAAAAAGATCATTTCATTAAATTACGCTTTAAAAGATTTTTTTTTCCGGAATATGCATGAAATGTCTGATTAAATAATGCTGTTTATTACTATAATACTTAAAAAAAGGTTCATTAGTTATTACTTGTAATTTGAAAATTAACAGAATCGACGAACCGATTCCGAGAAATACATTAACAGCATTTGACCCGGTAACATTACCAATCGATGAGTCAGCATATTTATCCTGTGTAGCTGCTACTTTAGATGCAAATGTATCTAAAAATTTTTTAATCAAAAAATATAATTTAAATTATAATCTGAGCTACTCATCTGCTCATAACTATTTCTATTTTTCAAAATTTAATCAAATAGCAGATAGCATATAAAACTTTTTCGTTTTTCTTCATTTCACCATTTTGTAAATTTTTATAGTTAAACAAAATTCAATTTTTTATTTGAAAATTATCAAATTTTAAATCATCATTTTTTTTCATTATCTCAATAACTTTAGTAAATATATATTGAAAAAAATTTTGTCAAATAAAATCAATAAGGATAAAATTATCCGGGATTGAAAAAAATTTGTTAAATAAAATCAACAAAAATAAAATTACCTGGAATAGAGGTACCAAGCGCAACAAACGAAATAGCGGTAACAGCATCCTTTAAACCAATCCAACATCCAAAATGTGACGCCAAATCACCAAGAATAGCTGTTAGCATACCAATCAAAAGAATTGATATGATAAAGCATGCCCAACCATCCCAATAATCTGAACATCATTTCATTTTTCATTCAAAACTTACAATCATTTAATAATAATAAAATTTAAAAAAAAAAACAGATTTACCTGTTGGTGGTATAGTTGCAAACAATAATTTCCACGGTAGAGATAAAAAATGCATAAAATAATCAAAGAATACGGGTGTTAGCTTCTTATCTGCTTTATCCATCTCTTCTTGATCGATGCTTTTATTCTCCTCAAAACCTACAAAAGATAGAATCAATTATTTCTTTTACTATATTAATTCTAATAAAATGTGCATTTTTCATATTTCATATACAGCTTTCTAAAGAAAAATTGTAAATTGGTGATTAAAATTAAATTGAATTGTTTGAATTTTTTCACGGTAAAAAAAAATTTGTTTTGCATAGAAAATATTTAAATTGTAATGGGAAAAATGAGAATTGATGAGCCGTTACCGGCATGAACAGTTAGCGCATCAGTAAATTGTTCACGCCAGCTTGTCGTACCGAGCATAAATGATGAATTAGCATTTCGTACCATACGATCAATTACACACTGAAGGTTACTTACTTTGATATAATTAAATTAATGATATGATAAAGTATTTTTTACATTAGGACACTTAAATGTAGACTTAGATAAGATGGTTTTTAACTTTTTCCAATCTAAAATTCTGCTATTTTAAATTTTATCTTTAACAACTAAGATGTTCTCATTTATTGATAATAGTTTGAAAGGATATCAACCCGAAATTCTTTGCTCTCTTTGATTGTAATTTGACATTGTTTGAATTTTCCTAAACGTGGCTTCCCTAATTCAGCAATTTCAAGTTCCTCTTTTTTTAACATTTCTCTTTCGCCATCGAAATCTACAAATGAGTATATTATGATGTAAAACGTATAGTTTTCAAAAAAAAAAATAATGTTTTAAAATTTACATTAAAATGATTTTTAATTGAAAATATTTTTAGTCTATTTAAGCAAGTTATGAATTTTTCAAACTTCTGAAACTATTATCTTGTATTTAAAAGCAAAATAAGTAAATGTATTGAAAAGCAAAATAAAAATAAAACTATCAAACTTGACCTCAATGATAATCAAAGAGAGGAAAGCATTAAAGCTAGATCGGCAAATATTTAGAATATTTTCTCGAAGTGAAGAATGGAAGTATTTCAATGTAAAAATAATTTTGAATAGACAAATTAAAATGTCTTACTGTCAACTTATTAAATTCTAATAAAAGTTATTCGTATCTTTCATTAACAATTTTCAAATGTTCTTTTCTTTATTCAAAAGAAATGTGAGGTTCCAGGTAAATGAATAAACGAAAATGATAATGAATTAGTGAGAGAAAAACCTTCATCTCGATTGTTTATCATCCAAGAACTCATTCGTCGTTTGAAAATATTGGAAAGATGATGAAGATTTGGTGAAGAAGCGGAAGTATAATTGGAAGGAATGGAACATGTTGATGACTTTGATATTCCTGTCGTTATCAAATTTTTATCTAGAAAAAATAATAAATACGTCAATAATATAGGGATGGAAAATTAAAAATGACATTTCATGCACATGCTTTTTGATAATTTAGCATTTTTCATGTTTCAGCAAAACACTAAAAATTTTATAAAAGTATGATAAAAGGCTTAGTAATTTAACAAGAATTAATTAAACTAAATGTTATGATCATTTTTACAATTAGTCATTTTATCCTCTTCGCATTCATATTAGATTATGTTATTCAAAATCTTTAATAAATCTTATTTCTTTTCAGTTTCTTGTCTAAATTTTAAAGAATTTCCTCAAACATAAATTTTTTTTTTTCAATAAAAATAAAATTGAAAAAAAAGAGTTAGAAGCGATCGAATTTAAAGAAATATGCAATTTTAATAAAAACTTCACATCAACGGAAAATTCAATTCATTGTAAAATTTTTGTTTAGTATACCTCCACTTTTTAATGATTCGCTATCTTTATTCAAACTTCTCAACGGTTCATTTTTTCTTCTTTTTATTCGCCTCAAGAAACGTTCTTGAATTTTTCGTAAATCTGAATTGAACAGTTTTGCGTGAAATTTTTCTTATTTTCTTATTGGATGATTAATGTTTTTTTTTTTGTGCTGTTATTGCTATTACCTAATTTATTTGAAATCTTTTATCAGTGAAAGGTTACCATCCATTATAGTGGATAACCTTTATTTAATTAGAATGTAATAGTAGCGGATAATTTCATGTGAAAAAAACCTTCATATCATATGTGAAAATATTATTATGCATTCAGAATGTAAATAATTATGGTTTTTAAGTTGTTCATCAAATTAATACAATTAATTATGAATGGTTATTATCTGGCATAGTTATGAGATGTATATGATAATTATAAAATTACCTGACATTTTCCTAACCCAAATAGGAAAGATATAAAATTACCTGACATTTTGGTATAAAATTACCTGACATTTTCCTAACCCAAATAGGCTGATCAAGTACAATTGAAAAATAATCCATCCGTTCATATTGCTCAGTATTCCTTATACCAATCTCAATAAATGCTCTGAAAAACAAAAAAAAAAAATTTTTTTTTCTTTCTAATTAAATAGAATTCGAATAATTTAAAAATGGCACTGAGAATAATATGTGATTAAATTTATTTGCAAATATTCAATGGAAATGAAAATTTTTTATTTTTGAAAAAAGAAATTAACCCACTCAGTTTGATTGTCTTCAAAGACAATTTCACCTTTTTCGAATTCGTAATGCTTTCCACATAATGCTGTACCATCAATTGCTCTGCAAAATTGTTACTAAATGAATCAATGAGTAAAATTACAATTCATCGATATCTTTTGTGAACATTTAAATGTAAATAAACTTAAAGAAGAATAAATATTACAGCTATGTGGAAACATATATTAAAAATTATAACTGATAACATACTTTTGTAGTAAACAAATTATTATTTAAAATAAAAATGAATGAAAAATAGAAATTAAAAAGAGATAAAAATGTTAATGAAAAGTGGAAATAAAAAGAGATAAAGAGGTTAATGAAATAAAAGATAATAAAATAATTAATTTTTCTGGCTTTGATTTCTTTTCAAAGAAAAGGCAATTGAATTTCATAAGAAAGCTGTAAAAAAGTTATAATCAATGAATGGATTTAGCTGAAACTGATTGTTGTTTTATTATAAGCATGATTGTTATTTTCTGTATAATTAACAGTCAATGATGGCAGATTACTTTATCGCTTTGCAAAAATCACGTATGGCAGAAAATGAATGAGAAAAGCACTATTCAAATCTTTCCCTCTTAATGTTTCATAATATCAAAATCTTCATTTGTTTCGTTGCTAATTTTCTTAAAATATATCAAATTTACAGTTAATCTATTCATTTTTTACGTTCTTTTCAAAATTCGCGAAAGTTTTTAGAGATTTTAAAATATTTAGGTTCTTTTGCGATCTTAAATACGATCAATCGCAATCATACTCTTATATCTTATGTGTATTCTTTAAAACTGTATAAGAATATATTTTATAAATGCAAATTTATTTTAATCGAGATTGAATCAGGATTGAAGGAAATTTTTTTGATGCAAAGAATGATAAGAATTTTTAACATTGAATAAACTATTTCACGAAACATATTTGTTAGTGTCTCACAGTTAAGTTGCTAAAAGTTGCTAAAAGTTAGCTAAAAGTTAGAATGAATAAAGTAATTTAAACAAATAATTTAAATAAACCTACCTATATGGTATAATAACTTTACCACGACAGCCAGAACTTCGATATATTTTAAGTGATAAGTGACCGCAATTTTCAACAATTTGAAAATGGTCATGCTCAAATGAAAATACACCAGCATGATCGTCATCTATAAATTTTAATTTTTGCTTACAACTTCAGATATTATCATTTTCAGTATTTTCTTCTTTCAAAAAGGATAAAATATTTAAAATTTAAATCATTCAATAATTTTCAATTGCAATAATTTTGGAAAAATTAAATTTTAGATTTTGAATTAAATTTAAATTCAATTATTTTAAAATTAGATTGCAATGATGTGAAAAAATTGAATTTGGATTAAATTGTAATTATTTATTCTGGAAATGGCATATTGCATTTCAATAGAAAAGTTAATAAATGACAAAACAATTGAAAGATAAGACATTTTTTTTTTGTAAATATAAGAGGAAAAATGTATTAATAATAATTGAATTGAAACAAACCAAGAATCATAACTGTAGCAGTGGAAGGAAGTTCAAGAGTAGCTAGCGGTATACCACCGAGTTTTAATGGATCTAATATTAAGCCATCTTTGGTACGTACTCTTAAATTACTCAAGTGCAAATAAAAATGTTCATCTTCCTCAAAAACATCATCATCCACAATTTCTATCGTTATTGTCTGCAAAATTTTCCTTTTCAATTTTACTATTAAAATTTAATAATTTTTCAATTTCCAGAAATTTTACTATCAATAAATATGTTTTTTTTTTTTTTTTGCAGTTCGTTCGTCACTTTTACAATAACAAAACTAAATTTATTCTTAATTTAATTAAATTTTGATAATTTCATTTGAAACAAATGATCATGTTTATAAAATTATTAACTTTTATTTTATCCTCCGGTCGGAAAATTAATGTTCCTTTGAGTGGAATATAATCATTTATAGCATTGGCAGTACCATCCTCTGTGTGATAATCAACCATAACTGTAAGACCTTCTGGGCCACCATCTCGACAGATGACAACATCAAATGTTCCAACACTTTCAAGTACCGTATAGTGAGCCGGATCAAAAAATATTCTACAGGTATTTGCTCGTGATTGCTTTTTTTGCTCATGAGCAACCTTAAAACTAAATATTTGTTTCTTTGTTATTAAGATTACTTACGAAATTATTCAATACTCATTTGTAGTGCAAGTGCCCATTTAGATCATTTGAATAAGTTTATTAATCTGAGAATTTATCAGTGTATTCATTGAGTTAAACCCAATTGAATTAAATAATCAATTCATTTCATAATATTTTAAATCTATAATCTCTTAATTTATAGGGAACAAGAATAAAAAACTTTGATGACATTGATAATTGCCACTTGTTCCTCTCTTTACATTTATTTTGTTATTGTTTTTTTCTTGGCAAATTAAGTTCATTCTTTTTTAATTTAAAATTGAGTATTTCTTGGTACATTTCAAAGTTGCAATCTACCCAATCCTAACTATGATAATAGCTTAGCAGTATTATCATTTGCTTATCTGTTTATTCTTTTTTACTTTCACATTAAATGAAAGAACATTAAATGGTCTCTACTTAGCTATTTAGAAAAGTTTTCCAAGAGAAATATTTTGAGAAATTTTTTAAAATTGAATTAAGCAAAATTTTATGACAAAATCGAAGTTTATTTCTTTCAAACAAAACAAATTAGTGAAACATACGGCACATTTATGATATTCTTTGTCAAGTTGTTTTCTTATCACATGACCACCACCAATTAATCGCCTTGTTGCTTGCACTCTAAATTGTCCTAATAAATTTATTATTGCTGCAGTAATTAGATCTGAAACGTTGTTACACTTTCAAATTCTCATTTAGCTATATTTAATATTTGAAAAGTGTTCCTGATCATTATATATTACTAAATCATAGCTTAACATTTTCGAGCTTATGCTATTAGAATTGTATAGTATTTCATCTGATTATTACCTTAATTATTTTACTATTCATTAAATATATGCCATATGCTTACCTGTAAAATGCTCTTGACTTTGGACCACGACTGATCATTTCATATTCAGCCTGCTTTTGTAATTCAATTGGATCAATTTGTGGATTCTTTTTCCTGATTTCACGCATAATTTCGATAAATGTTTTTCGATTATCTTCGAATGCTTTTACAGCCGAATCAATTATATCATCCTGAAAATTTCCGAAAAATTTGCAAAAAATCTAGGAAAGTTTTCAGCTTTTTTTTAAAATTTACCACAAAATAAACTTATGACAGAAGAAGGATGTGATAAAAAATTAAGCAATAAATTTTCATCGGTGATAAAGTGATAAGTTTTATAAATGCAAATAATTAGTAAGTAATTTTAATTAAATCTGTAATCAGAAATCAAAGATTAGAAACAAGCTAAAAACTATAAAATATATCTCTTCAGCACTACCAACATTGAGATGGCCATTTTCACCAACAATTTCCATTTCTTCTCCTTCCGTTGCAACAATTCCGTGTGATGTCCTTCGATAACGATGCGGCATAAAGCGCCTCTGCATTTGTAAAATATAAAATAACACTTCAACTGAATTTAATTCTTATCTAAATCACAAAATTTTTAATTTTTGTGAACAATAATATTATCATAAATCAATTTTGTAAAAATTATCACAAACCTGAATAATTTTGATATCAGCTATATATGCAGTTAATACCGTAATTGGAAAGAAGAGAAATGTTAAAAAACCTTCCCATATTTCGATAATACCTGGGGAAAATACTGATAATATCAAATACATCCAAATATATGCAAACAATGACCTAAACAAATTATCATTAAAATTTTTAAAACTATCAATTTGAATATGATAAAATTTTTTTAGCTTTAAATAATTTTATCAGTTTAGTTTTGAATTCACTGAAAAATTAACAAAAAATTCACCAGGCTGCAGTGACGCAGAATACATCCAAATGTTTCTGACGCCGAACTTCACCATTCGGTATAGCCATAACGCATATTGCAATGATCATAAATAAATTAAATGCTGCTGAGCCAACAATTGTATTTGGTCCTAAATCACCTGCTTTAAAGCCTCTTCCTATCACCTAAAATGATATTGTTGTAAGATTGAATTGAAATTCTTGTTAATTTTGCATGAAAGAAAAAAATCCAACAATTCATTCGTAATTAGCGCCAGTGGACGATAAAATTTTAATCATTCTTTTGTACTTGTAATAATAATTTGATAAATTTGTCACTAGATTTTGAATTTTTGATAAATCATAAGCTTAAGTGTAATTGGAAAGAAGAGCAATTAGAAGTTTCGTACTAGTTCACTTTCTATTTAAAGATTTATAATTGCATTTGAAAAAAATAAATCATTTAGAAATGATAAGCAATTTTTGCATTTTCCTAATTAATTTACCTCAATGATGGATAGTAGGATTTCAGGTGCGGATGAACCTGAAATGAAAAACCTGTTAATAAAAAGAATACGTAATTTCTTGATCATTTTGAATAATAATGTTATTTGATTGCAATCATTCAAATTTTTATATGTGATTAAATGTTGATAATTGATGACAGTATTATTAGAATGGCAAGCAACATGAAAAAAAATGAATAGAAAAAATTGAAAATTCTTAAATATTTAAAATACGAGATTGAAAATTTAATTAACCACTGTTTGCTAATTGATATCTAAAATGTGTCATTTTATCTATATTTTCTAGCATTGAAAAATATGACATAATTTAAGAAATTTTAGCTTTAATTTTTATAAAATCGAGATAATTTGAAAATTTAATTTATTCCAGTCAATCGCTTTTTATCGACTACTTAATGTTGAACAATTTTATTTTTTGATTTCAAATGATAGCTAATTTACAATCATCAATTTACAAAATTATATTAATGTTTGCACATAATTCAATGTTCTTGCATCTTTCTCGAAGTTGTTACAACAGAAAAAATGAGGAATTTCTGGTGTGAACTAATAAAGTTATTTTATATTCTCAACAACTGTACAAACAAGTGTCAAATATACGACACATACCACTTCTCCAACATTCTGAAAAACCAATAACTTCATCTTACTCATTCCTGAATTCTCAACTTGATTTACTTAAAGTTTAACGTTTGTTTTCTCTCTTTTTTTTTAAATTTAACAAACGAATATTTTGGAATTTATGACAAAATAATTCCTGCTAAGAAATCATAAGATTGGGATAATTTTTAATTAAATCATATTGTTTTTCACTCAAATAAGTAAACTATCTGCTGATAATTTTTAAGATATTAAAATTTCATGAAAAAATAGATAAAGTGATATATTTAAAAATATTTGATTGAAAATTCAATTAAATTGCTAACCAAGTGCCATTAAAGTTAGATTGCTAACAGTATCATTCCATATTCTCACTTTTACTTTCAACGGTTCTAAGCCTGACCTCTTTACGTGTACTGTTCTTTCCATGCTGAATAATCCTTTCGATTACCAATAACTTTTAAAAGAAATAAAAAGCATCAATAATTTTCAAAAAAAAAAACACTCAAAGTTTGGTAATCATTTCGATCCTAAATTTTAAAAAATAGAAATTTTAAAAAAAAATTTAAAAAAGAACAAATTCCTAAAATTCTAAAAAAAATTTTAAAAAAGGAAAAAAGTTTTCAATATTTGTATGTAAATATTTGAAAATTTGAATGAAAAAATAAGTGAGAGTTGGAAAGTTTTTTTTCCTCATTATTTGCAAGCAAAATGCATTCCACTCAACAATCAATTTTCCTATGTGTTTTCAAAAAAGAAATTAATTTGCAGCAGTTTGATTTGAAATTAAATTTGAATTCAAAATTCTCAACCTGGTTATAACTTCAATAGATGACATGAAACGATCAGCAACGATCGATACGCCTAAAAAGAGATATGCAATAATGAAAAAGAATGCTATACCACGAAATATGCGATTTCCAATGCTTAGATGCAAAAATGGACGCCTGCAAAATAAAATCCTTTTTGCTTGAAATCTCGGGATTAATTTTTTGGTTGGAATTATAAATAGATATTTGAAATGGAGGCATTCATTGATAAGTAGCAAAGCTGTTCTTCATAAAAATTAAAATTCAGAGTTATTAATTAGTGCTAAAAAATTTATTCCAATCAAGTTTTGATATTAAGAATATTAAGCATAACGCATTATGTATTTATATAATTTTGGCTTTTGTTTCTCCTTTTTTTTTCCAATTTCACAAGTCTATATCAAATCTAAAATATCATAAATTTCAAACAAAGTTTTTTATAACCTTCTCTACATGAACCAAAAAAATTATTAAATTTATTTATACTACGATTGAGGAAAAGTTTCAGTATGCGGAATAATGTCTCAATATTTCGGTATGGAATTTGTACTTACAATTAAATGGTGGTTGATACTTGCTCGTTTATACTTAAATTTTAATATATACCAGTTAATCGATGAATACAAATAATTGTATTACAGGTTTTGTACTCAAATTTTAATTGCATATCAGTTTAATCGATGAATGTAACTGAATTTTTTTTATCATTTGCACAATTTAATTTTTTTTCCTCGTCAGGATTAATAAATGTCAATATTAATTGCATTAATGAAAATTGGAACTTACCAAATAGGTATAATCATACCATCAACACAATTGGCAAAAGTATCCGTTTCTGTATTATTTGCGCTTCCTTGTACAATATTAATCAAAGATGAAAATATGATAACGATCCAAATAATTCGTGCACGATAATTAATAATAGAAAGCAATCTCATATTGGCTACTATAAAATTGTGATTTCTCTCTACTTGAACTGTTTTTGCCATTTCAATTCTTTTAATTAATGCTATCAACTTCGAGATATTCCAACTGAAAAAAATAGAAAATAAAAAAGCTCACCATAATAATCATCCACATGAAAACATTAAATATAAAACCAAAAAATCAGAAATATTAAAGTGTAAGAAGAAAAAAACAAAAGCAACAAGCCCGTTTAAGGTTTATTGATCAGATGATATATCTGAATGAAAATAATCGTAAGAATTATTAAAAATGCGTGCATTTTTAATTGACTTTCTAATTGAAGGTCAAATTTGCTTGGTAAATTTGGTATCAGAATTATTTCTTTTGTGTGCATTTTTATAAACAAATAGAATTTTGCTAACAATTCGGTGATATGTGAAAACAAATAAATAATAGAGGAATGAAATTTCCGCATAAATTAAACGAAAAAAAAATTGGAATATTGAATGGTAAGGCACTAAATAAAAAATATGTAAAATCAATAGAATTCATTAAAAAGCTTTATATTTTTAAAAAGCGAATAAAATATGCTATCAAGTTGGAACAATGGAAATTCTTGTTAAACAGACAAAAAAAAAATATCCAAAAAATTATTTATTTAGAAATATGCAACATTTCAATTCTATTTAATTAATTTATAAAATGCACATAGACAAAATGTATACACAAATGAACAAACAATTATATTTCATATGACTTTTTAGCCTAATGGTTTATTACCACCTTATCTATTTGATATAAGGCTAGAAATTATAAATTTCATTGTCACATATTGTGGCGTAAGTATATTTGTCGCATTCTCGAGCAGTATTATAAACAATTCATAATTTGATTTTAAGAGGGATAAAATTTATTGGTGACAAAAATATTTTTGACACAGATGCATTCGATTTAACATTAATGTTAATCTTTCATTGCACTAAATTGCATTGAGGATCAGAGAATGGTGCAGATCTTATCAGTAAATATAAGCGTGAATTGAAAGCTCTCTATTGATGATAACAAATCAAATCAAATGATTCATTTCAATATTGTCCTATTTACTTTCCATTCTTATGTTGATTTTCAATTAATAATCTAAAATTGTCCAAATTTTTAGGAACACAGATAACTTTTAAAAATATTTGCAGATTTTGCAAAATTTCACTGATCAATAAGTGATTACATTTTATTTAGTATGAGAAATAATAAGTATAAAGAAGCGAAATTTATATTTAACTTTTGATGATTAAAAGAAAATGAACACTTAGTATTGTTAATTTTTTATCATCAATTTCATTGACTTCTAAGCAGCACTGAAAACAATAATTGTTAAATTTATGTGATTAAAAATAAAACAGCTGACGATAGCAAACAATTTGAACTATTCCAAGCATAAACTAACAATTCAATATTTTGCAATGATCTGACCACATCGTTCAATTTATTTAATTTTAGCAAAAAATTGAATTTTTAATTTGAATGCTTTATAAATATTGTCAGGATGAAATTTAATTTGGGCTTGTTTTTTTTTGGGATAGTGTAAAAAAATGAAAGCTTTATCGGATCAGTTCAAGTACTGCTTGAAATTTTCATTCCTCTTTTTTTTGGTTCCTAAAAAGCTTCGCTTTCAGATCACATTCACACATCCACTTCGATTTCATTTTTTTTTTCATCTTCATTTTTTTTATCTATTTGACTGCCTCATTTTTTAAAACATATAGCCATATAACAGACAACAGCAAAATGAAATTGCATGTATGGGATGAAAAATTTATTATATAGTATGCATATATGTATGGGATTAAAAATAAAATAGCTGACGATAACAAGCAATTTGAACTATTTCAAACATTAAGCTTAAAATTCAATATTTTTCTCACTTACACTGGTGCACACCATAACGCTCATTTTTCGTTTAATTTAATTAATTCATTCTCTTAAATTTAATTATCATTGGAAAACGAGCTAACTTCTCCGGTTTTCTTCTTACAAAAAGCAAAAAAAAAAAAAGAGTATAGGAATCAGTTTTCAAGGTTTTGATTTTATTTCTCCTAATTTAAATGTGCCAAAAAAAATGCGGAACGCACATCTAAAAATATTTTTTTGTTTACAGCTATACAATTTCTTACTTTCATCAAATTTTTCAATTCTCCAATAAATAAAGGAAAGGAAAGAACGAACATTAATTAGAATGATTCATCAGAACATTTCATCGATCAAAAGAAAATTTATGAATACATTCAGAAAACGTATCGCAAAAATTAAGTCAAATGTGGTTGAAGCTAAAATGATAACAATGAGCTGCAAAAAAAAAAACGAAAACAAAGATTGATATCAGTCGAAATATTAAAAATGTTTATCATAAGACCGGTAGGAATTTCAGTGGAGTACTTTTTGAAGTGCTCGCTTCTCATCTTACAAATTTTGGCAAATTAAAATTTTATTAAAAATATTAAGTGTAATAATAAGAATAAAAGACATCAAAGGCATTGATATGCTAAATTATATTTGGTCGTTAGGACATAAAAAATTGGTTCCTAACACTTTTCATCTTTCATATTTAAAGAAAAACAAACGATTGATTGCAATCAATAGATTAATTGCAATCAATATTTATTATTAGCAATGAATAAATGCTATTAATTATTAAAATAATTATTTTCTCTTCTAAGAGAGAAAATAAATTACACAACAGTATGAATGCAAAAATCCGATTGATCGAAAAAAAAAATCAACAAATTAAATTTTTAAATCAAAATAAGTTAAAAATTAGTTTAGTATGATCGGTTGATTGATTTTAAAGTTGAAAAAAAGAAACAAATTTTGTTACTATTTTTTCATTTAGTAAGAAATAAAACAGATTACGATCTTTAAGCATTCCAATTTTATAGTTGAAATTAAAATGAATAAATTGCAACAAAAAAAATTTAGCTATTGCAAAATGTATTGAATCGATTGTTTCCAAGGGATTCCCCTCCTATGCATACATACTTGAAAAGGATCGCTACCAGGAAAGGAAACTGTCAACTTCCTCCACTCTGACCTTCTAACATTTCCATTTGTTCAGCTATCACTTATGATAACAACAATCGTCAACTGTTCTGCTTATCAAAATCATGTTTGGTTTTAAATTTTTATCAAATTTGCTAATTTCCAAGAAAGTTATAACTGTAACTGAATAAATTGAAAATTGTATTTTAATATTTAATTTTTATGAATATTTGTTGAATTTAATATTTCTCGAAGGTTAACATTTTGGGAGTATTTCAGAGAGTTTCCGGTAAGTGTTTCTCTCGTACCACTCCTGTTCACTTTCTATGATATTCTCTGCAAAAGTTAACCATCTAATCATATTTATTCAATATTTCATTATCTTTTCAGGAATTTTAGCGTTGTTCAGTTAGGTGATTATTGCGACTGACAAAATGGTTTAATTAGAAAAAATTTGAAATATAGGACAAAAATAAGAATAGCACAGTGAAATGGACAAGAACTGTCAGTGGAAAGATTGCTTTATAAAATTAGGAATTTCTATCTTAATGATTGACTTATAAATCAAATCACAAAAGAATGGTTGTTGTGTCCGCGATCGATCGATATAAATTCAATTAGAAATTAATGTATTTTTCTGCGATCATTTTATGTTACTTACTGTGATATAAATGAGTAATTAATAAGATTATAGGTTCTAATTTAGCACTGTGATTGTTCATTTTAGAGTCAGCGTTAAGATTTCGGTTCGGTAATATTTGATAAATCAATCGGAATAACTGAAAAAACTGTTAATAGGATTTCCGGCAATAACTGTTGACACTTTTTTCCGGTTCGCCTAACAATCTGAACAGAATGAAGGAACAAAA